CTCGTACTCTGACTCGTTGACCTGGGGGCGCCGACTTAAATTGCCACGCTCGACGGCGCTGTCGCCCCGGTTTGGTCGTCTGCGGATCTGTCTCGTCATTGCCTCCGTGCACCTGTTAAAGTTATCGCGGAGTCGTCTAACCCGTCTATTTAGGACGAAGGCCATGGCTACGGCCAGAATGTCCTCAACTAACGATAGCGGCACGAGGTATTTTATTATTTATTTATTAACCTTTATTTAACCAGGAAAGTCCCATTGAGATTAAAAACCTCTTTTTCAAGGGAGTCCTGGCCAAGAGGCAGCAAAATATACAGTTTAAGAATTACATACACATTACATACTCATAATAAAAAACATTTACAAGAGGTTGACTCAAGTGCTCTCACTTTGGACTTAAATTCGTTCAATGGAATAAGATCAGTCATTTTCCAGTCTTTTTGCAACGTGTTCCATGTAGAAGGAGCAGAGTGAACAAATGCCCTTTTTCCCAGTTCTGAACGGGCAAATGGAACAGTGAGCAACAAATGATCATTTGAACGCAAACTATAAGAGCCAACGCTCCTCCGTGAGATTAGGTTACAGATGTAAAAGGGCAGTAGACCAAGCATGGCTTTATAAATAAAAGTATACCAATGACTCTGCCTCCTGGAGGACAAAGAAGGCCATCCCACTCGAGAATACAGCTCACAATGATGGGTCAAGGCCCTACAGTTAGTAATGAACCTCAGAGAAGCATGATATACAGTGTCAATCTTGTGTAGACATTGAGCAGACGCGTTCATGTACAGCAGGTCTCCATAGTCTAAAATAGATACAAATGTTGCAGTGACAAGCTGCTTTTTTGCTTTAAAAGAAACAAAATTTATTTCGAAAGAAAAAGCCCAATTTGAGTTTAAGTTTTTTCACAAGATTGTCTATGTGGGGCTTGAAATTCAGGGAGTCATCAAGCAATATACCAAGGTATTTGTAAGTGTGAACCACCTCTATGACTTTTCCTTCAAAAGTGGACACTGAGGGGATCGTTTGAGAAACCTTCTTAGTATTTGAAAACAACATTAGTTTAGTCTTTTCAGCGTTGAGGACCAGTTTTAGCTGCAGAAGTGTGTGCTGGACCACATCAAAAGCTTTCTGCAGAGATTCTACAGCTTTAACAGGGTTAATTCCAAAACAGTAAATTATTGTGTCATCAGCGTAAAAATGCATATTAGCGTCAGACACATTTTGTCCCAATTCATTAATATACATGATGAACAGAAGGGGTCCTAATATTGAACCCTGTGGCACCCCCTTGTGGACATTCAAAAATTCAGAACACAGGCCCTCACATTTAATACACTGGGTCCTGTGACTCAGATAATTTGCGAACCAGGAAACAACATGATTAGACAGTCCCAAACAAAGAAGCCTATGCTTTAAAATAGCATGATCCACAGTGTCAAAAGCCTTTGACAGATCAATAAAAAGGGAAGCACAATATTGCTTTTTATCAAGAGCAACAAGTATGTCATTTATCACTTTTGTAGCAGCTGTGATGGTGCTGTGCTTTTTCCTGAAGCCGGATTGCAGTTTAGAGAGAAGTTCATTAGAGTACAGGAACTCTTTGAGTTGATCACAAACAAGAGATTCAAGAACTTTTGACAATACACACAAATTTGATATTGGCCTGTAGTTACTTAAAACAGCTGGGTCACCTCCTTTTAGTAATAGGGTAACAAAAGCAGACTTCCAAACAAGTGGGACTTCTTTGCTTTGAATTGAAAGATTAAAAAGGACCGTAAGAGGCTGTGCTACATAGTCAGCTGCTATTTTCAAGAAGTAGGGCTCTATCAAGTCTGGTCCGGGGGGTTTTCTGTGGTCTAGTGCTTTGAGAGCTTTATGCACTTCCTGCACAGTAAAAGGAACAAAATTAAAACGCTCTCCAGAAGACATTGGAGATTCTGTGAAGGGAGTCACAGGGGCTGCTCCTGAAAAGTCAAACAAAGAACCAGAAACTACAAAATGCTCATTAAAGCTATTTAAGACCTCAGTGCTATCATACACAGGGACAGAGTCTTTTAAGACACATTTTGGAAAAGCATGAGGTCTTCTGTTTACAGATAGAGACTTTATCACTTTCCAAAATTTCTGTGGGTTGTTGAGGTTTTCTGATTAGCATGGCGGGATACGGCCCATGGCTGGGTTTTCGATCGAGGAACTGAGGTGACGTAGCATGTCCTCCATCAGTTGGGTGGTCAGCTGAGTATGGGCGTAGTCAAGTTGGAGAACGTCTAAGAGTTGATTGACCGCAGCGGAGGTGCGTTTAATCGCAACCTCGTGCGTGTTAAGTACTAGCGTGGTTCCTTTCAGGGACTTTCCCAAGATCACCGCGTCGTTCTGTTGTTGATAGAGTCTGGTTTTGACATCCTCAAGTTCAGAGGCCATTTCTTGTTGGTGGCGTCTGAGGGAGGATAGGCTAATGGCGTTTACCGTGGACATCCCTAGGCTAAAGAGGGTGCCCAGGGCTGACGCCGCGGGTGAGTGGAGCCCCAATAAATCGTTTGGGTCTGGGCGAGGGTCACTGAGCTCTGTCCTAGTGATCGTGAACTTCTCTAGTTGCGTCAGCATGTGTTGTATGTCTGCCTCAGCGTGCTCCACGACCGTCTGGGTCCAGCGCGCACCTGCCCAATCTTTGAGTGTGACCTTCGAGGGCAGGTTCTTGCGGCAGACTTCACTAGGATTGAGTCTGACAAAGATTCGCTGCGTGTGGAGTCGGGCGTCCGTGATGAGGAGCCCGGGTTGTTCCTTTAAAACGATCCCGGAGGCTGGTCCGGTCTCAATAATTTCTGGGGTGCCGAGGCACAGTAAGCAGGTCAGCATGAGAAGGCAAGTGGGCCACATGTTCTGCAAGGCGTGAAACAATTGTTAGGGGTTAGACAGAGAGGGAGAAAGAGAGACTCGATTAGTGCAGCCGAGAAGAGTGTTAGTGGGTGCTGGACTAATCGTGTTTGAGGTCACGTGGTGTGTTCCTAACTGGGGTTTGTAGTGTGCCCTGCTTGTCCCATGGGGCTTTGTTTGTGTGGTTTGGTTTGGCTGTGACGGGCCCATCTGAGGGTGGGCTCTCTACCTTTTGTGACCTTGATCTGGTGCACTGCGGTTGAGAGTTTGTTTCCCACCCTGTATGGTCTTGACCAGCGGGGTAGCGATTTCCAGTGTAGTCTGGTGGGGCCGGTCCCCACGTGTCCTGGGGAATGTGCCAAGGTGTAATACCATACCTGGTTTTTGACCTGGAGGTGGTCCTGCGGTACGGTCCTGTATTGGTTTGTCCTCAGGAGCCGGGGGAGTTTCACGTTCTCGTCACTCCGGTTTGGGGATACGTACCTTAGTATTTCGGTCGCCGTTCGGTCCGTTGTTTCTACCTGTTGTAGTGCCTGACGTGTGTTGTTTATACCTGTTTGTTTCGCGGTAGGTGCGTCATGGGCGTGTGCCAACATTACCCCCCTCATGCTTCGAGGCACCACGAGTACCGACGAAGTGAGTGTATCGGAAGCAGAATCTAACAGCCCATGGCGTATCGGCAGTATGTCTTTGTCACGGCCGGAGGTTCCGAGCGTCGTGTCGATCATGACGTCGAAGGGGCGTTCTAGTGTGGGGTTGTCGTGTCGGAGGGAGGCTAAGTCCGACCTGTCGAGGTCGGGGGCCGCCCCCCCGCAGTCCGGGTAGTACCGTTGGCCTAGGGTTAAGTCCTGGCGTGCGTCAGGGGGGGTGCCGCGGGGTTGTCCTCCATGATTGGGGAGGTCCCCGGCGTTCCCATCGTGGGTCACTGGCCATTGTGTCGCAGCATATGCGGACGGCCCAGGCTTGGGGCACCGTAAGTCGTGTGGTCCATGTAGCATGTTCAGATGTGGGCCAGGGGGGTCGTTGTAGGTTTGTCCGCTATGTTGAGGGCGGGCCCTTTCGTCCCAATGGCTGCAGTCTGAAACATGTCTCGTATGGACGTCAGGTGGGCCAGGGTCATGGGTCGGATAGTCATGTTGTCTGTGTCGCATGTCCATGTGTGTTCCCGGAGGGGCGTCGTGGGGGTCGCAGTGGTCGACGTGTCTAATGTTGGGTTGTGTATTGTTCCCTTGACCTTGATTGTGGTCCTTTCCCGTCATGACACTTACCAGTTCGGCCACGCTCCTGCGTTCACAGTTGGACGATGGTTTGCCGCGGTCGGAGCGAGGGGAGTGTGGCCCAGAGGTACTGTCACGGCTGGTTCCGTTCGAAATAGCGGTCCTGATTTCCGCTGCGCGATCAAGATCCATGGTCGCGCTTGGAGTCATGCTCAGTCCCTGTTGGTGGTCCCTACTTACCTGTTGGATTTGTTCTAAGCGGGTCGCGGCGGATTTCCTAGTTTCCGCCAGTTGTCGTTCCAGGTCACTCACTGTGTTTTGGAGCCTTGCTTTCTGGGCTTCAGAGTCGCGCAAGGTTATTCTGGAGATTATGGCTAGTCGTCCTAGCCACTGGGTTAGGGTCTTACCTTGGAGTTTCGTCGTAGTAGCCTCGGATGCCAATATGGAGGTGGCATCTTGTAAGTCAGAGAGTGAGCTGTGCTCAAGCGTGTCGTAGCCCCCTGGGAATAACTTCTCTGTGAAGTTTCGCAGAAAGTTATCCACTATGTTGTGTCCTTCTGAGACACCGTCGTTCTTGCTCGGTCGTGGCGAGTTTCCGCCATCGATTTCCATATTTGTGTGGGTGAGTGTATGTAAGTATGACTTGGAACGTGTGTGCGTGGCACGGTGGGAGGAGGAAAGGAGGAAAGCAGTGCTATAGAAAGGGTAGTACAGCTGTTGTTTGTGTGGTGGTGCACACCTTGGTGTGTGTCAAAGCCGTGACTACAGCGTCCTCTCTGTGTGGCGGTGTATGCGAGTGGGCGGCCTAGGACAGGGGCCGGGCGTTAGTACTTCTTCACCTGTGTGTCAGCGAAGAGCGTTGGGGTTAGTGGCGTTGGCGCACGTAGGGTAGTAGTGGCACCAGCGGTATTAGGGCGCGGCGTCAATACACAGCGGTTTGAGACGCAGCGTGGGGCGCGGCGCAGCTTGAGACGCAGCGTCGGTTTGCGACGCAGCGTGGGGCGCGGCGTGGCTTGAGGCGCAGCGTTGGTTTGAGACGCAGCGTGGGGCGCGGCGTAGCTTGAGACGCAGCGTCGGTTTGCGACGCAGCGTGGGGCGCGGCGTAGCTTGAGGCGCAGCGTCGGTTTGAGACGCAGCGTGGGGCGCGGCGTAGCTTGAGACGCAGCGTGGGGCGCGGCGTAGCTTGAGGCGCAGCGTCGGTTTGAGACGCAGCGTGGGGCGCAGCGTAGCTTGAGACGCAGCGTGGGGCGCGGCGTAGCTTGAGGCGCAGCGTCTGTTTGAGACGCAGTGTGGGGCGCGGCGTAGCTTGAGCCGCAGCGTGGGGCGCGGCGTAGCTTGAGACGCAGCGTGGGGCGCGGCGTAACTTGAGGCGCGGCGTCTGTGAGGCGCAACTGCGGCGTTAGGGACGCAGCGGCGTCTTGGGACGCAGCGTGGGCGCGGCGTAGCTTGAGACGCAGCGTCGGTTTGCGACGCGGCGTGGGGCGCGGCGTAGCTTGAGGCGCAGCGTCGGTTTGAGACGCAGCGTGGGGCGCGGCGTAGCTTGAGACGCAGCGTGGGGCGCGGCGTAGCTTGAGGCGCAGCGTCGGTTTGAGACGCGGCGTGGGGCGCGGCGTAGCTTGAAACGCAGCGTGGGGCGAGGCGTAGCTTGAGACGCAGCGTGGGGCGCGGCGTAGCTTGAGACGCAGCGCGGGGCGCGGCGTAGCTTGAGACGCAGCGTGGGGCGCGGCGTAGCTTGAGGCGCAGCGTCGGTTTGAGACGCAGCGTGGGGCGCGGCGTAGCTTGAGACGCAGCGTGGGGCGCGGCGTAGCTTGAGACGCAGCGTGGGGCGCGGCGTAGCTTGAGACGCAGCGTGGGGCGCGGCGTAGCTTGAGACGCAGCGTGGGGCGCGGCGTAGCTTGAGGCGCAGCGTCGGTTTGAGACGCAGCGTGGGGCGCGGCGTAGCTTGAGACGCAGCGTGGGGCGCGGCGTAGCTTGAGGCGCAGCGTCGGTTAAGCAGTAGCAAAAGGCAGCAGGCTGAGCGGCAAGGCAATGCAGTTTTAGTGACAGCGCGTGGCGTGGGGGTTAGAAATAGAGTATTAGTATTTGTTATGTATAGCAGTAATGTGTTCTAATAGCAACATGACATGCAGCAGAAATCCGTGAAGCAGAAACACGGCATATGATTAGTTACTACAATAGCGTTAAAGAGGAGAAACAGAAACAGAGTGTTTAGCTTTACCAATGTATGGCAGTAATGTGGACTAAAAACAATATGACATGCAGCAGAAATCCGTGAAGCAGAAAGACGGCATATGATTAGTTACTACAATAACGTTATTATCAGTGGCAAGGAGGGGGGGGGGGGGGGGTGTGTGTGGGAGTGCAGTATTTGTTAAATCACCACACAGATGTGTTACCGTAAACTAGCAGTAGTGAGTGAGCAGGAATAAAGCATAGAATGCGTTTCACCAGCGACATGCAGCAGAAGGAGCAGAGTTCACAGCATTAACTCGGCTAACGCAGTAATGTAGTCTAGCAATGACGTTAAAGAGGAGAAACAGAAACAGAGTGTTAGCTTTACCAATGTATGGCAGTAATGTGGTTATTGAGTTGGAGTAACAAAACAGCACGGAAGTATAGCAAAGCCGTTTTACGTTAGAGCCACAGCCACAGATGATTAAAGACGTGGTGCAGAATGAAGTGTCAAGACAGCAGCAATGTGGTCCCGGAAGTAGTGCCGGGACCGGAAAGCAATCCTGTGTTAGACAATAAAAGAGGTGCGGCTCGTTTAGCAGTATGCCGAGACGGCTAGCGCCTTATGATTGTCAAAACACAGACTCAGAGTGAGATAGGATAGTACGAAAGTATAGTAGGTGGTTATTGTTAGACAACGGGTAGGCAATGCAGCAGAATGGTATTAGCAGTGGGGATGCGGCTCTGGCTTTTAGCACGCCAGGGCCGGAAGTTAGCCGTATGCTAAAAACAAAGGAGCGTAGCTAGCCTTTAGCTTGCCGGCAACGGGACGTTTTAGCAGCAGTTTAGGCAATAAACAATGAGTTTTGGTTACCGAATGCAATTTGGTTAAACAGAGCGGCAGTAATTTTAACAGTGAGAGAGCAGCTATTAGTGGGAGCAGTATTAAGAGCAACGGGCGTTGTCCGAATGTAGCTTCGAGGCTAGCAGGCCCGAGCGGAAGTTAGCCTTATGCTAGAACAAAGGAGTGTAGCTAGCCGTTAGCTTCCGAACGGGAGGTTTTAGCAGTAGTTTATACAACGAAAGTCTGGAGCGAGTTATACGGTTCGCACAAGCACGTATCGTAGTGGTGGAATGGGGTTTGTCTGTATGTACTGTAGAGTGCTGGTGTGTGTGTACAACAGCAGGTTAGCGGTAGAGAGAGTGGTGAGACAGGGTTAGCGTAGCCTAGCAGAACAATAGCATCACATTCAAGCCGCTGCCGTTCACAGCCTTTCACACATACAGTATATGCTCGGTTACAATCCTGTGTGACTTGGGTCACAAAGGGACACAGTAGGTTCGTACGCCCGTGTTCTGGACACGGCGCACGGTGGGTTACAAGGATAAGTTTTTGCGCTTTCTCTTAAGAGTTTAAGCGGCTTCACATTCCACGCTGCCCGCTGGCCAAGCGGGGCGACACGTTGTAGGAGATGCGTAGTACCCGTACGAAAAGTCGGGATTTGAGACTAAATTATATATAGTCTAGTGCATGCACGAGCGCTTTTTCGCAAGCGTGGGCGCAGGGGAGCTCAAATTGGCTTCGAAGTCACCATAGCAACGGGGAGCAGAGGAGCAGAGGTGGGGTGAGGGAGTGGGGGGAACAAGCGCTTGGAGCGTTAGCAGTGCTTAAGTTAGCGTATTGCAGATCAAATCACAGAGTACGAGTTGATAAATCTGGTCTATATGCGCGGATCTCACAAACAGGGTACCATATATGTAGGGTAATAATATTACTGATTATGTTATGAGAAGAATAGTGTGGCTAGTCTCCAAGTCAGAGGCTGGCCGTCCTATTCGAGTGGGGGATCTGCTTTAATTTTTAGGGCACCAGCAGTTACTTCTGCACAGATCCAAACTAACTTTGCCTCGAGTCAGTCTTATAATCTAAAGATAGTGAATGCGTATATCAGCCAGGGATATACCGAAATTTAACAACACGACGCTTAAATGATTGACTTAAGGAAAAGGGGTTTTATTGACTACAAAAATGAAGATAGAAAATATAACGAAGGGGATTTCTGGTCACATTAAAACAGAAGTGGTTAAAACAGAAGTGGTATTGACCAGATGCATTGACGTCATACAGTCACGTGACCGTGCATGAGCTGACGGCGGAAGTAGTGGAAGCTAGCATTGCGGTGAGAGCAAAAAAGAGTGTAACTCCGCGAAAAGAGCAAAACTGACTCCAACTCCTAAACATTGAGACTCCTGTCACAAATCGAGAGATGGCTGAATGTTCGATGAAGTTATCGACGGAAGTAGGACATCTCGTTGGGGTCCATAAAACGCGGTATTTGGAGAAGTTACGGATTGCCGAACTGGAAGTTGACCCGTACCTTCTCCCCCCAGTCAATTTCGTAGATTTAGTTAAATGCACAACATTGCCCGAATTCTCCCCGCATGATCTGTACCATTACGTAGTGAACAATGTATCTCCTTACACTGGTTCAGATTTAAAAGCGTACAAGAGCCTGGATGCATACCAGTTTTTTGTTGCTGGCTGGGTCACTGGGGCTCGTTGTCAAGAAAGAGGGACACGGTTCATCTTAATGGCAAAGGTAAGTAATTTCGATTGCATTATGGTGCCATTTATCATGTGTAAATTCTAGGGCTGTCAAACGATTAATTTTTTTTAGTTGTTTAATCGCATAGTAATGGTGAGTGAACTCACTATTAATCGCATTTTTAACATTCTATTTCAAATCCACTCCAATTGAAGTGAAATGAGATTATAAATGTAATGACACATTGTTATTCAGACCAAATGTGCTTAAATCTGTTTGACTTGCTCACAACCTTCTACTTTTGGGTACAACCAACAAGAGCTTTGAATGGGAAACTGTAGGTATGTGTTTGTGAGTGCGAATGTGGGACAACGGACGCAAATTAGCCCAAGGCTACAATCCGGAGTGATATGTTAATTAACTTGTACTGTCCCACCCAAATAAACAATAAATAAATAAACCCCAGCTTTAATTTCTCCCATAATGCCAGTTTCTGATGATTTTTACTGAATTTTTAAGACCCACAGAATATTGTGTACTATGTTTTGCTTCACTGCAATCCCCAGTGAGTAGAGGGAAGTTTTATTCATAGAGCAATGCTGCCATCTGCTGGCTTGAATTAACGCGTTAATTTTGACAGCCCTAGTAAATTCATACAATTATGATTAAGTATATTGTGTATCATGTAGATATTTATTCTGGGATACTGTTACTGGCTTATTATAATGTCAGGTCCAGTTATTCATAGTGTAATACTCCCAGGTAAGTAATGCTTGAACAGTGCTCTTCAAGATGCTTTTATTGACAAGCTGACAGAACAAGCTGCTGTTAGCCACTGCTCACGCTTAACTCAGAAACTTACAACATACACTACCGTTGTGTCAACTGGTGAGGAAAATCCCCCACCCCTGAAAAGCTCTACCATAACCAGAGCGCCCCCCCTGTGGTAGTAAACAGACAACACAGAACTATTAAAATTGATAAAGGTCATGTTATTGTTGTGATGAAAATGCAATGTTGTGCAAGTACAATACATAACTTTTCACACTTCGAAACATGGATCAATACCCCCTTCAGTTACATTTAGATGGGGGCTAGATGGTCATAGTAGATAGCACTTTCAAAATGATGACCTATTGTTATGTAAATAATACCTATTCCCTTTTCATACATGTTTTATCATGTGATTTCAGGTTCACCACAGCCAAGCACTGTCTGAACCTCCCCTAAAGCCCTGGGTGTCTCTCCAGAAGGATGGTACAGTGTTGTGTGGCCACTGCACATGTAAAGCAGGCCTGGGAGAGGTGTGCTCACACATCACAGCCTTGCTCTATGCCCTTGAGTCTGCAGTAAAATTCCTTCAAGATCGAAGTTGCACTGATGGGCCAAGACAATGGGGACATCTTCCAGTGAAAGCAGGCAAAGCACTCTATGAAGAAGGGTTAGGAATTGACTTCACAAATCCGTCCAAAAAGCAAGCTGGAGTATCTAAGAAAAAAACATCAAAACAGAAACATACAGCGAGTGTGTCTGAAGGTGCCATAGCAAAGTTCTACCAAGATCTGGATAGTGCATCCCAAAGTCCTTCAGAGAAGAGTGGTCTCCTGAGTGTGCTACCAAAGTTCTGTGAGCAGTTCCAACCCAGAGTGTTATCCTTAAGTCTTCCACAGCCCCTAACAGAGTTGTACAACCCTCATCACCGTAAGCTGTCTGCTTCCGACCTAATGGTGAAATGCGATGATGCTTTCATCAACATAGAGGTCACACCCGAACAGGTACATATGAATCGATTAAGCCTATTAATTGATTGTATCATAATATATGATTTATCTTTTTGCATATTAAATGTTGTAGGCAGTACATGTTGAGGAAGAGACACGACAACAGGGACAGTCAAAGCTATGGTTTGACTTGAGGGCTGGTAGAGTGACAGCCTCAAGATTCAAGTCAGCAGCAAGAACAGATCCATCTAATCCATCCAAGTCACTCATCAGGCAGATTTGCTACCCAAGCCAGTGTGGTGTTTCTACTGCTGCTACAAGGCACGAGTGCTATGACTCAAACACACAGATGTTGTTTATTATGTTAAAGCCGGAGTACGTAGTAGTTATTGATTCACAAATACATGTTGTTTATCAGAACAGAAAGAAACTTAAAGGAATAGTTCACCGTTTTTACATACTGACATATGTTCTTACCTTTACCTTAGACTAGTTGATATGTGCCTGTCTGGTCTTTGTCCGTGCGCTCTGTCATGCAAACGGAGCACAAACGAGAGCACTAACGAGCTGATTTGGTTCTATACAGTATACAGCCTCCTCTGTATTGCTTATAGTACCAAATCAGCTCGTTTGTGCTCCGTTTGCATGACAGAGCGCACGGACAAAGACCAGACAGGTACATATCAACTAGTCTAAGGTAAGGTAGGAACATATGTCAGTATGTAAAAACGGTGAACTATTCCTTTAAGACAAGATTGACTTTATTGATCTCACAATGGAGAAATGTACATGTCACATTTGGCATAGATAGAATTACTCAGATTATGCAAAAAGATAGAAGTATGAAACCTGTTAAAATTAAACATGTTAATGTTAGATCCTCATTAACTCTGCTCAATATGCAACTGATATTGACATTATGTATGGTCTATCTTTCAGATGGGGATGTCAACAAGAGAAGACAGCAAGGCAGACGTATGAAGCCTGGGCCTCATCACAGCATCAGGACCTGCAAGTCTGTGACTCTGGTCTGCACATCCACCCCAGCTGGCCCTACCTCGGAGCATCTCCAGATGCCTTGTTGTCCTGTAGCTGCTGCGGCGATGGTGTGTTAGAGATAAAATGCCCACACAGTGCTAATACTGGAGTCCTCAGTGCCACAGACAATCCAAATTTTTATATTAGAAATACAAATGGTTGTTGTTCTCTTAGCCAAGATCATGCATACTTTTACCAGGTGCAAGCTCAGATGTTTGTGACAGAGCGAAAATACTGTGACTTCATGGTGTGGTCCGAATCAGATTATTTCATACAGAGGATCTTACCCGATGCTGCCTTGATGAGAGAAACAGTACCCAAAGTAGAACAGATGTTTAGGTCCGCTATTCTTCCAGAGCTATTGGCAAAAAAATATACATGCCCTTGCCCACAACCACAGTCTGATGAAAGGCTTAACTCCAGCATACTGGAAGAGAGTGAAGAGTAATGTGGCCTGATTTTGTTTTTGCTTTCCACTCAATATCATTTAAACAAGGCCTAATGTTTTATTGTGGCTCATTTATTTGTAGACCCGTTTGTCATTCTTAAATCAAAGTAAATGTAATAAAGAGGCTTAAAGTTATAGTTGCCATTATGAAATGTTTATTTTTACATACTTTCGCATCACATTACCATACAATCACATTGGTCAGGGTTGTCATTTACCCAGTTAAACAGAAAAACACAACTTGAATAGATGGTACCGATGACAAAGAGAAATTAGATAACATGTATTTTACATTAATTGATTGGCACAACTGAGGGGCACAGATTGGTTAGTGCACATGCTACACGCACTATTTTGTCCAGAGTTGTGTACTCTGGATCATCAGTGGACAGGAGACTGATAGGCACAGGTCCATGCAACATCTTGTACTTGGAGCGAGCTTGTCCAATCACCCTCTCCACATGTATGCGCACAGCAGCAAGTCTTCGGGTGTCCTCCAGTTCAACTGCTCCGAGCTGTTTTTTTCCTCGTGTAAAGGCAGGGGTTTCAACTTTGGCACAATACAGACCAACCAAGTTCTGAATTGTAAAGCCTCGATCAGCAAGGATTAAGTCACCTGGTGAAAGGTTGTCCAAAAAGCCACTGTGCTCTGTGATGTATGCATCTGTTGTTCGACCACCCCAGCCCCTTGAGATGAAGGAGATAGTGCCTTGTGGAGTGATACTAACAAGGTATTTAATTGTGTTGTGGGATTTATACTGCGAATATGTCTGCGCCCTTGCCTTCAAATCCTTAGGTTTATCCATGAATATCTCAAAACAGTCAATGACTGCCATACAATGCTGAAAAGACTTTCTGAAACACATGGGCATGGACACTTTAACATGTTCTCTCTGGGGCCATATTACACACAAAGGAACTAATATATCATTGAGAATATGTATGACATTTGAAAAGACTCTAGAAATAGTTGAGGAGTGAACTTCAAAGAGATATGATAAAAAAGAATTTGGTATGTTGAGTTTGACTTTCATTAATGTAATTAGTAGCTGTTGGAAACTTGTCAAATTTATAGTGTCTTTGAGAGCTGGACTAACAAGGTTGAACACGGCCATGAATACTTCATAGCTGTGTAGTCCAGTCAGTGACTTCAGCTTGTCCTTGTTTTTCAAGCCATTCTGTTCAAAGATGTTAACATGTAGCCTCTGTTTAAGTTCAAATGTTTCCTTTCGAAGCATCTGACACTCCAGTGTTAACGACTCTATATGTTTTGAGGTCAGATCAGTTTGGCACATTGCTTCACCTTCAGGCATGTCATTCTCAGTGAGCTGAGTGGTCATCTCGCTCATCTCTGATGAGAAGTCCGGGAGTGCCATAGCCGCCTCGCTTCTTGAAGACAGCAGGAGTTTCTTCTTCTTCAAGTTCTGTCTCACCTTGAACTTCTCAAGGCTTTGCACAGCACGTCTCCTTGCAGGGGACTTTGTATGTGCAAATACTGAAGGTACATAATCAGGTGACAGGGGATCATCACTCTTCTGTCCTGGAAAAGAGACATGGGTTCCTTATTTACAACAAAGTAGTAATTTACACACACGTATGATGTGTGGTTACATCTACACAGTGTAAATGTTGCTGGTATCATTAGCGCATTAGCAAAAAGTTCACTTTTCTGTCTACAGCCAATCATGCTAGCTACATATTGATGGAGAGGAAAATAGTGAGCTACAGCAACAACCGTTAGATGTGTCATTGTCCTCCAAAAGCATGAATGGAAAGACAATAAATACAAAATCGTAATTTATTTACCTTGTAAAAAGTGTTCACTGCAAATACGGGAGTACTTGGATGGCTCCCAGTCTTTGCGGTTGATTGCCGCCAACCATCGCCGTCTTCTATCTTCATCACGAGTAGGAATCAGGTAGAAGGAAACATTTGGCTTGTGTCCTTGCCTGTTTGTACACCCCACCGCACTGCACGATATGACCATGTTGGCTCTTATGTGGTGAAACGGTCAAGTTTCCGATGTTCGCGGTAAAATGAATAGCAGTCCAGGCTTAAATAGCGATACTTCCGCCGTCTGTCAAGCTGAGGGGGCGTGGCCGTGACGTCACATGCACTGGGTCAATACATCTCATTTGAAACACGCACTAACAAAAGGAACAGTCTTACTTTTGAGAAGCGTAGAGGAGATGTTTGATGGAAAGAGGAGGATGGAGATGGAGATGGGAGGATGAGAATGAAGAATAGGATGGAGGCGATGTCCTCGTCCACGTGGTCTTTGTTCGAACAGGGAGCAGGAGGAAAACCAGTAGATCGGATCCAGGCGTGGGTTTCACACACACAACACGGTCTAGAGCGTTGCGGTGGGGTGTTCCAGGGAGCCCGAAAGTGGCTGGCGATGGAAGGTCCTCGTCTCCGACAGCGAGAGTGGTTGCTGTCCTCGTGGATGTACAGGCCCGAGATGGTGGCGGGCGTAGGCCGTGTAGGAGACACGTACCAAACGGGATGGTTGTTATGGTGACTTCGGGGAGAACCAAGAGGCAGTTCTATCGCATTGTGCGTGTTTATATTGACTTCTGGAGGGGGCGCGTCCTTTGGCGTCATCCATGTGCGACAACCTCCTCACAACAGGCGGTTTATCAAGGAAAAACACACAAGATCAATACAGACGAGCATAACACATTGTACAAACACACACCGCAGTTCATTACTTGACAATGATATACACATGTAGAGCACGGTACAGACATATTGGGATAATACAGAGTCCGGAGCTGGTCTGCACCATGTCCGTGCCGGGTGTGGTAGTGTCCAATGTCCGCTGGGGGGCGCCAGAACGCCGTGGGTGAGTCTCAGGTTGTGGAATGTCCCATGAGCGATTACTGATGAATGATTCCTGATCTCTGTCCGGCAGAAGGGCACACAGATGTCCGCTCTGTTGTTTTATTGCCCCTCTGGGTCTTCTTGCGGCGTTCCTGGCGAATGTTAGCCTTCCATTGAACCCGTAGTTACTTTGAAGTCTCAGGAGCTAGGGAGGGCATGTTTACGGAAAGGGTCTGCTATTCACGCCCGATTGGCGCTTGCCCTTTTCCTCACCCTACACAGGGATCAAATCTGACAGGCTCATCAGAAAATACAAAGCTTAGGCGACATTGGCACCGGATGGACCGGATGGATGGAATAAAACATCTGAATATTATTGATTTTTTAAATGTTTTTATTTTTATTTATTTTTTTTAATTTAAAAAATAAATATACTGTAATCTTAAAAAATAAAATTCAAACAAAGATAAAGTAAAAATATAACATTCATACAAAGATAAAGTCAAAATATAAAATTCAAACAAAGATAAACTCTAAAAGTAAACTTCAAACAAATAAAACCGTTCAAACAAAGATAAACCCAAAAGTAGCCTTGACATCCTCAAATAAAGTAAAACTTACTCAAGAAAAGTCTTAGGCCAAAAAAACAATAAATAAATCCTCAATAAAGAAAGAAAGGGTTGAGGCACAGTGTCATCCGTCGCATCACACGTTTCAGGAGGATTCTTCTGAAACACTTAAATCAGCTTCATCCTTTTTAAACTAATGTGTGAAGCATCCAGACTTTAACCAAGTTAAATGTGCCCTGAAAGCTCATGGGCGTTCTGTCAACGATGTTTTAGATTGAGAGTTATTTGCTGGTGCTTGAGGTGGAGGTTTCTGCTGCAGTCCTTTTAGATGTGAGATATTCTATTCCTCCATAAATCATCATGGGTAGTACCACAGCGCCAGTAATCAAGGGAGAGTGTGTCAGCGCAAAACAAGTGGCAGCCTGTAGTACAAGAGCACCTCCAAAGCAGAGAGTTCTCACAGCTGACCAACAGGAGGTGCTGTTCGATGGCTCATTAGTGTCATCTTCAGAATAGTCTGCTATTTCAATCTCGACATGTTCGAGAACATGTTCTGGCTCTTTGTCAATCTGGGTTTTTTGGTCGACCTCAATGGAACATGAGTTGAGCTGCTCCTCATCGTGTTCAGGGCAGATAACCACGTCTTTTGGGAGAATAACTTTTTCTTCAATACCAATGCAGTCCTTTAGCTCCGGGGGAGCCTCGTTCACCTTCTCTTCCGGAGATATCTCGATGTGATTTCCAAAAGATGGGCCAGATCTCTCCGCTACAGCAGCAGAGAGCTGTGGAGGCTGATCTGCATTTACATTTTCTTTGTTTTCTGTCAGAGCAGAAGCTGAGGTGTTGAGAGTCACCGACATCAATTCACGGGCAATAGTGACATATTCAGTATCAACATTCACTAAATGTTCCATAGTAATGAACGGATGCCTCAGTGCTTCACTGGGAGTTATCCTCTTCTCTGGATCCGTCTGCAGCAGATTTTGAAGTAAATCCATAAAGGCCGTCAGGTCCGACTGCACATCCTCGTCCATATTTTCATGGCCGTACATAATCGCGGCCTCAAGATTTGGAGCGTCATCCAAAGGACTCACACCAATATCAGGCTTTTTCCAGTTTGAGGCCTGGTACTCAAAGGGTGTCTTCAAAGACCACTGGGATCTACTTTCAAGAAAGCACTTTTCAGCATACAAGCTTCTGTTGAGCATCTCATTGCTGGGTTGTTCTACCAAGCGAATGATGGTCCTTAGGTTGTCATAGTCAGACATGTTGGAGAAAGGTTGGCAGTGCAAGAAGCCCTCTACTAAGCAGCAGCCCAGGGTCCACATATCCAATGCCCCAGACAGTGGAGCACCTAGGGTCACCTCCGGAGCACGATACCCATCTGTCATAATGCGTATGCCCTGTTCCAGCTCGGAGAAGAAGCCTCCGCAGCCAAAGTCAATCAGCTTCACTTTATAAGGCTGATCTTTGTGGTTAACTAACATTATATTGTCTAGTTTCATGTCAGCATGAACCACGTGTGCCTCCGTCAGCGCCTCAAAGGCCACAAGGAGTTGTTGAGTTATGGGTCTCAACTCGCTCAGTGCAAAAGGCCTTTGACGCTCCCTGATGAAGTCATAGAAACTGCGGTCCAGAACTTCATAGGCAATGCACTCATAATCCTCATGTCGGAAATGCTCAAAGCATTTGATGATGTTCACTTTGTCTGGATCTATGCTGTTGCTCAGATGCTGGAGGATACCAAGTTCTCTCTCCATATCCTCACTGTTGTTTTCAAATATTTTGAGTGCCACAATTTCTCCAGTCCTGGTGTTCAAGCATCGAACAACAATTCCAAAGGTTCCATATCCAAGGATCTCCTGCAGCACATAGTTTCCCAGCTGGGGCGGCAGTTTCTCCAGTAGTGGATGGTCCATGGTAATTGACTCCAATTTACAGTCCATTTAAAGTCCTTTTAACGTATGACCTTGATCAAATACTTTGGATGCAAGTCCTCTGGTCTAGGGAACTTTGTGAGACAATCTGATAAACGTGTCATACGGTTCTAGAACCATACACCAGTCTCCATGGTGAGCAAATCCAAGATTGATATCAACCATTCTAGAATATTCTATTTAATTTGGAGGACAGGTGTCCATAGAACTTTGAAGGAAAGAACCCATTTTGAAAACAAATAATAACAAAAAAATAGTCCAATTTTTTTGATACTGGGCCGACAGTGGCTCAGATGGAAGAGCATTGGCCTTTGAGCCTGAAGTATGTGGGTTCAAGCCCACCAAATGATCTACTTCACAACCCCCAACTGATGTCCGCTGTTGTTGCGTCCTTGGGCAAGACACTTAACTCCACTTTGCCTGAAGCCCCTGCTGAAAGATCAAGGAGAATCAGTGAGGGGCTGTCGCTCTGTGTACTGGGTGCAGCACTGACTGCCACCCCCCGACCCAGAAATGGATTAAGGGGAAGAAAATGTATGGATGTTTTGATACTGATTTGATAGTGATTAGATTCACAAACCTGCAATAGGTCTTTTCTGTTGACCAGCATCATATTGTCTTTAAATACCTTCACCACTTTCAGATGCCTTTTATGAGAAAATATTATTATTAGAGTGGGGCAACAGTAGCTCAGTTGGTAGAGCATTGGCCTTCAGGCCTGAAGGTTGTGGGTTCAATTCCCACCTCGACACCTTCTCCACCGACTCCCTCTGATGACTGCTGTCGTTGTGTCCTTGGGCAAGACACTTAACCCCACTTTGCCCAAAGCCCCCACTGAAAGATCAAGGCTATGCTCACACTCAGAGAGCAGCCGTCCTCCTGTGGACTCACCACCTGCAGAGGGTCAGTGAGGGGCTGGTGCTATGAGACTTGGGTGGCATCTCTGACTGCCACCCCCCTGACCCAGAAATGGATTAAAGGGTAGAAGATGGATGGATGGATATTATTATTAGATGTGGAATTGTGTTTATTCATTAACCTTGAAAGTTCAAAACTTGTTGAGTAGAGCGTGGGAAATTATTTTAATTTATTCGTAAATTTCAGTGTTGCATCACAAGTCACAGAACAGTAGGAATGAGGAGCACACAGCACAAGATAAATGAACATTAGCTATACTAATTAAAATACTTAAAATATTAAGTATTATCTCTAACTCTAGCATCAAAGATACAAGTTTAAAATATCTATCTTTATCAAAATAAATAAGTATAAAATATCTATCTTTAACAAAATAAAGAAGTATAAAATCTCTAAATTTGGCAAAATAAGAAGCAAGTATAAAGTATTGTGTATTCTCGTGCAAGCAATATATAGTTTGCATCTGTACATTAGCAGTAGTATGTTTACATCTGTACATGTTAGCAGCAGTATGTTTACATCTGTACATGTTAGCAGCAGTATGTTTACATCTGGCAAGGCAAGGCAAGTTTATTTGTATAGCACAATTCATACACAAGGCAACTCAAAGTGCTAAACAAGATAGCATTAAAATCATAAATAATCACAGAACATCAAAAAGAAAGATAAAAACATAAAATCCCTCAGTTGTATGCACAGCTAAACAGCACCGTTTTTAACCTGGTTTTAAACATTGTCAGAGAGGAGGCCTGTCTCACATCTTCAGGAAGATTGTTCCAGATTTTAGCAGCATGAATCTGAAAAGCAGCCTCCCCATGTTTAGTTCTGACTCTGGGCACTAACAGGAGTCCAGTCCCTGTGCTCCTCAGAGTCCGGGCTGGTTCATATGGGACTAACATGTCACTAATATATTTTGGTGCGAGGCCATGGAGAGACTTGTACACAAGCAGAGCTGTTTTAAAGTCTATTCTCTGAGCCACAGGAAGCCAGTGCAGAGACCTGAGGACCGGACTAATATGGTCATACTTCCTGGTTCTAGTCAGGACTCGAGCTGCTGCATTTTGAATGTACTGCAGCTGTTTTACAGCCTGTTTGGACAGACCTGTGAGCTGGCCATTGCAGTAGTCTAACCTACTGGAGACAAATGCATGGATAAGAATCTCCAAGTCTGCTTTAGACACTATGTTTTTGATCCTGGCAATGTTTTTTAGATGGTAAAAAGCTGCTGATGTTACTGATTTGATGTGGCTATTAAAATTTAAGTCTGAGTCCAGTATTACCCCTAGATTTCTGACCTTGTTTGAAGGTTTTAGGGAGAGAGACTGGAGGTGACAGATGACGCTCTCTCTTTGTTTCTGGGGACCAAAGACAATCATTTCAGTTTTGTCTGCGTTTAGCTGAAGGAAGTTGTTTTGCATCCACTCACTGATCTGTTGGATACAGTGAAGGAGTGAGTCCACTTGTCCATGTTCTCCTGCAGTCAGTGAGACATAGATCTGAGTGTCGTCTGCATAGTTATGATAGGAAACTTTGTTTCTGCGTATTAACTGACCTAACGGCAGCATGTAGAGATTGAACAGAAGAGGTCCCAGGATCGACCCCTGTGGTACTCCACAGGTCAGGGCCATATGATCTGAGACACAGTTTCCAATCTCCACAAAGTACTTCCTGTCTTCAAGGTAAGACCTAAACCAATTTAGGGCGGTGCCAGCGACGCCAACCCAGTCCTCTAGTCTCTGTAAGAGGATCTCATGGTCGACAGTGTCAAAGGCAGCACTCAGATCTAACAGGATTAGGATTGAGACTTTGCCTGCGTCAGTGTTTATCTGGATATCGTTTGTAACCTTGACGAGAGCAGTCTCAGTGCTGTGGTGGGGTCTAAAGCCGGACTGAAACATATCAAATGAGTTGTTGATTATAGGAAATCTAGTAAGCTGTTGATAGACAACTTTTTCAAGGACTTTCCCCATAAATGGCAGATTTGAGATGGGACGATAGTTGTTAAGTACCGTAGCATCCAGGCTGCTCTTTTTTAGCAGGGGCCTGATGACTGCAGTTTTCAGGGCCTTTGGGAATATTCCAGAATTAAGGGACATGTTTACTATCTGTGTGAGTGAAGGTAACAGACTGCTCAGAACAGACTTTAGAAATCTAGTGGGTAGTACATCCAGGCTGCATGTGGAGGAGCTCAAACTGGAGATTATCTCTTGGACAGTTTGATCATTTACAGGTGCAAAGTAAGTTAGCTCAAAGAGCCTTTCTGGTTGTTGGATGGTTATCTGTCGATTGGAGACAATGGCGTTTTTGATGCCTTGAACCTTGTCATTGAAAAAATGTGCAAACTCATTACATTTACATTTGGAAGTAAGATCTAATGGCATCTGAACAGGGGGGTTTGTTAATCTACAGTGCCTTGCGAAAGTATTCGGCCCCCTTGAACCTTTCAACATGTCGCCACATTTCAGGCTTCAAACATAAAGATATACAATTTTAATTTTCTGTCATGAATCAACAAGTGGGACACAATCGTGAAGTGGAACAAAATTTATTGGATAATTTAAACTTTTTTAACAAATAAAAAACTGAAAAGTGGGGCGTGCAATATTATTCGGCCCCTTTACTTTCAGTGCAGCAAACTCACTCCAGAAGTTCAGTGAGGATCTTTGAATGATCCAATGTTGTCCTAAATGACTGATGATGATAAATAGAATGCACCTGTGTGTAATCAAGTCTCCGTATAAATGCACCTGCTCTTTGATAGTCTCAGGGTTCTGTTTAAAGCGGAGAGAGAACCATGAAGACAAAGGAACACACCAGGCAGGTCCGAGATACTGTTGTGGAGAAGTTTAAAGCCGGATTTGGATACAAAAAGATTTCCCAAGCTTTAAACATCTCAAGGAGCACTGTGCAAGCAATTATATTGAAATGGAAGGAGTATCAGACCACTGCAAATCTACCAAGACCCGGCCGTCCCTCCAAACTTTCATCTCAAACAAGGAGAAGACTGATCAGAGATGCAGCCAAGAGGCCCATGATCACTCTGGATGAACTGCAGATAACTACAGCTGAGGTGGGAGAGTCTGTCCATAGGACAACAATCAGTCGTGCACTGCACAAATCTAGCCTTTATGGAAGAGTGGCAAGAAGAAAGCCATTTCTCAAAGATATCCATAAAAAGTCTCGTTTAAAGTTTGCCACAAGCCACCTGGGAGACACACCAAATATGTGGAAGAAGGTGTGTAACACAGTCAATCTTTGTCACCAGGGTACAAGGAGGCCACGACAGTTAAAAGTTTTAAAAGGGATTTATTACAAAAATAGTCTTTAAAAAGTATGATAAAAAGCTATTAGGTTAAAACTAGAGAGGGGAGAGGCTGGAGCTAAAACTTAAGGATGCGAGCTTTAAAAGGTCAGGGTCCAGGCAATGCAGTGGTTTGGCCGTGCTGGTATGGCTTTGTCCCCAGCAGGCCCCAGATGCTGCACAGAACGATTGGCCTTCGGACCGCCTGGAGGACCCGAGCTCTGTTTCGCACCAGACAGAGGGAGAGTGTCAGGGAACAATACAATACAATAACAGTAAAACAAGTAAGAAGTCTGCCAATTTAAAATGAATGGGATAGGACTGACCTGTTTCGCACCAGACAGAGGGAGAGTGTCAGGGAGAGGAAAAGGTGCACTGAGAATTTAAAGGGGAAGTACAGCCCACCACAGCTGCCAACTAATTAGAAAACATGGCCATTGGCCCACACCAAACAAGGAAACACACGAAAAGAAAACCACACCCAAACTCAAAGTGGCAGTGAAGTGATGATACTTGTACCCTGTTACAGGTGTTCTGGTCAGATGAAACCAAAATCGAACTTTTTGGCCACAATGCAAAACGATATGTTTGGCGTAAAAGCAACACAGCTCATCACCCTGAACACACCATCCCCACTGTCAAACATGGTGGTGGCAGCATCATGCTTTGGGCCTGCTTTTCTTCAGCAGGGACAAGGAAGATGGCTAAAATTGATGGGAAGATGGATGGAGCCAAATACAGGACCATTCTGGAAGAAAACCTGTTGGAGTCTGCAAAAGACCTGAGATTTATCTTCCAACAGGACAATGATCCAAAACATAAAGCCAAATCTACAATGGAATGGTTCACAAATAGACGTATCCAGGTGTTAGAATGGCCAAGTCAAAGTCCAGACCTGAATCCAATCGAGAATCTGTGGAAAGAGCTGAAGACTGCTGTTCACAAACGCTCTCCATCCAACCTCACTGAGCTCGAGCTGTTTTGCAAGGAAGAATGGGCAAGAATTCCAGTCTCTCGATGTGCAAAACTGATAGAGACATACCCCAAGCGACTTGCAGCTGTAATTGCAGCAAAAGGTGGCACTACAAAGTATTAGCGCAAGGGGGCCGAATAATATTGCACGCCCCACTTTTCAGTTTTTTATTTGTTAAAAAAGTTTAAATTATCCAATAAATTTCGTTCCAATTCACGATTGTGTCCCACTTGTTGTTGATTCTTGACAAACAATTACATTTTTATATCTTTATGTTTGAAGCCTGAAATGTGGAGAAATGTTGAAAGGTTTAAGGGGGCCGAATACTTTCGCAAGGCACTGTATTAACTGTTGAAAACAGAACACGCAGATTGTTGCTGCAGCCTTCAATCATTTCAGAAAAATACCTTTCTCTCCTACTACGTAGCACCTGGTTAAACTCGCACAACTTGTCTGTACATCTGTACATGTTAGCAGCAGTATGTTTACATCTGAACATGTTAGCAGCAGTATGTTTACATCTGAACATGTTAGCAGCAGTATGTTTACATCTGTACATGTTAGCAGCAGTATGTTTACATCTGTACATGTTAGCAGCAGTATGTTTACATCTGAACATGTTAGCAGCAGAATGTTTACATCTGTACATATTAGCAGCAGTATGTTTACATCTGTACATTAGAGTACAGATTACATGAGTCCTAGAAGGTTTTAAGGAGTGGCCCATGCACTCCAAAAGACCTGAGCCTCCTCAGCAGAGTTGGCTCTGGTTCTTCTTGAAGAGGACGCCCTCTTGGACTCTGTTATGAGTCCAGTCCAGTTTGTGGTTCAGATGAAAAACCAGGTACTTGTCAGAGTCCACTCTTTCCTTAGGCAAAACACACCGACATTGACATTGACTGGAGTGAGTGCAATGCATGGATCTATTATAATAACTGAATAGGGTGTTACTAGCTTGTAGCTGAATAACTCATGTGCTCGGGGGATTCTCGCGGTACTGCAGACTGAACCAGACTAAATTCACCTGGGCTACCCAGAAATTTTCCCTATAGAACTCAATGCATATTAAAACAGCTCAACCTCAGCTGACAGAGAACCTACAGCTTTCATAAAGGTCGGATTTTGTGGGGATTTTAGTGTCACTTGTCATTCTGAACTTTTTTTCTTCTTAAATCCTTCGGTTTTGTTTAAATCCACACTTTAGTGCCACAAACTCTGCTCGTCTGGCTCTCGCTCTAACTCCCGCTCTGATGAACTGCTCTGATTGGTCAGAGCGCAGCCGAGCCCCTCTGTGCACGTGCGTGAGACCCGGTGTGAGACCCACACACGCGTGTTTGGCGCAACGCATTATGGGAGATCATCCACTGCGCAGAACCGGGAGGACCAGACGATGCCCAAATACAGGCGAGTTTCCCATAGATCTTTGCAACTTCCAGGCGACTTCCGTTAATCTTTCAGCCCCCATGCCGTCACAAAGCGCCACTGAGCACAACCATTCATTTGAATAGGGCGCCATCTTGGATCGCCGGGGCTTGGTGTAGTGTGAGAATGCATCGATGGCACTATCTGGCTTCCTTGCTTCTGTCAGTGCACCCCAGGGCAGCCGTGGCTACAGTGGACGTTTATCACCACTGCGTATGGAGTGAAAGAAAATGACAAATGAAGGCATTGTTGAGTGAGTAAAAATTTGATATGTTGTTTCAATAAAATGACTAATTTATTTTTTTCTTTACAGATAGAAAAGTCACAGCATTTTGCATTTACATCCTCCCTTTGACAGGGATCAAATCTGACAGGCTCATCAGAAAATACAAAGCTTAGGCGACATTGGCAGAGGACCTGATGGATGGAATAAAACATCTGAATATTGTTGCTTTTAAATGTTTTTATTTTATTTATTTTTTAAATATAAAAATAAATATAAAATATACTGATGAATTGAAAATATAAAATTAAAACAAAGATAAAGTCAAAATATAAAATTCATACAAAGATAAAGTCAAAATATAAAATTCAAACAAAGATAAAGTCAAAATATAAAATTCATACAAAGATAAAGTCAAAATATAAAATTCAAACAAAGATAAAATCTAAATATAAAATTCATACAAAGATAAAGTCAAAATATAAAATTCAAACAAAGATAAAATCTAAATATAAAATTCATACAAAGATAAAGTCAAAATATAAAATTCAAACAAAGATTAAGTCAAAATATAAAATTCAAACAAAGATGAAGTCAAAATATAAAATTCAAACAAAGATAAACTCTAAAAGTAAACTTCAAACAAATAAAACCGTTCAAACAAAGATAAACCCAAAAGTAGCCTTGACATCCTCAAATAAAGTAAAACTTACTCAAGAAAAGTCTTAGGCCAAAAAAACAATAAATAAATCCTCAATAAAGAAAGAAAGGGTTGAGGCACAGTGTCATCCGTCGCATCACACGTTTCAGGAGGATTCTTCTGAAACACTTAAATCAGCTTCATCCTTTTTAAACTAATGTGTGAAGCATCCAGACTTTAACCAAGTTAAATGAGCCCTGAAAGCTCATGGGCGTTCTGTCAACGATGTTTTAGATTGAGAGTTATTTGCTGGTGCTTGAGGTGGAGGTTTCTGCTGCAGTCCTTTTAGATGTGAGATATTCTATTTCCTCCATAAATCATCATGGGTAGTACCACAGCGCCAGTAATCAAGGGAGAGTGTGTCAGCGCAAAACAAGTGGCAGCCTGTAGTACAAGAGCACCTCCAAAGCAGAGAGTTCTCACAGCTGACCAACAGGAGGTGCTGTTCGATGGCTCATTAGTGTCATCTTCAGAATAGTCTGCTATTTCAATCTCGACATGTTCGAGAACATGTTCTGGCTCTTTGTCAATCTGGGTTTTTTGGTCGACCTCAATGGAACATGAGTTGAGCTGCTCCTCATCGTGTTCAGGGCAGATAACCACGTCTTTTGGGAGAATAACTTTTTCTTCAATACCAATGCAGTCCTTTAGCTCCGGGGGAGCCTCGTTCACCTTCTCTTCAGGAGATATCTCGATGTGATTTCCAAAAGATGGGCCAGATCTCTCCGCTACAGCAGCAGAGAGCTGTGGAGGCTGATCTGCATTTACATTTTCTTTGTTTTCTGTCAGAGCAGAAGCTGAGGTGTTGAGAGTCACCGACATCAATTCACGGGCAATAGTGACATATTCAGTATCAACATTCACTAAATGTTCCATAGTAATGAACGGATGCCTCAGTGCTTCACTGGGAGTTATCCTCTTCTCTGGATCCGTCTGCAGCAGATTTTTAAGTAAATCCATAAAGGCCTCAGGTCCGACTGCACATCCTCGTCCATATTTTCATGGCCGTACATAATCGCGGCCTCAAGATTTGGAGCGTCATCCAAAGGACTCACACCAATATCAGGCTTTTTCCAGTTTGAGGCCTGGTACTCAAAGGGTGTCTTCAAAGACCACTGGGATCTACTTTCAAGAAAGCACTTTTCAGCATACAAGCTTCTGTTGAGCATCTCATTGCTGGGTTGTTCTACCAAGCGAATGATGGTCCTTAGGTTGTCATAGTCAGACATGTTGGAGAAAGGTTGGCAGTGCAAGAAGCCCTCTACTAAGCAGCAGCCCAGGGTCCACATATCCAATGCCCCAGACAGTGGAGCACCTAGGGTCACCTCCGGAGCACGATACCCATCTGTCATAATGCGTATGCCCTGTTCCAGCTCGGAGAAGAAGCCTCCGCAGCCAAAGTCAATCAGCTTCACTTTATAAGGCTGATCTTTGTGGTTAACTAACATTATATTGTCTAGTTTCATGTCAGCATGAACCACGTGTGCCTCCGTCAGCGCCTCAAAGGCCACAAGGAGTTGTTGAGTTATGGGTCTCAACTCGCTCAGTGCAAAAGGCCTTTGACGCTCCCTGATGAAGTCATAGAAACTGCGGTCCAGAACTTCATAGGCAATGCACTCATAATCCTCATGTCGGAAATGCTCAAAGCATTTGATGATGTTCACTTTGTCTGGATCTATGCTGTTGCTCAGATGCTGGAGGATACCAAGTTCTCTCTCCATATCCTCACTGTTGTTTTCAAATATTTTGAGTGCCACAATTTCTCCAGTCCTGGTGTTCAAGCATCGAACAACAATTCCAAAGGTTCCATATCCAAGGATCTCCTGCAGCACATAGTTTCCCAGCTGGGGCGGCAGTTTCTCCAGTAGTGGATGGTCCATGGTAATTGACTCCAATTTACAGTCCATTTAAAGTCCTTTTAACGTATGACCTTGATCAAATACTTTGGATGCAAGTCCTCTGGTCTAGGCAACTTTGTGAGACAATCTGATAAACGTGTCATACGGTTCTAGAACCATACACCAGTCTCCATGGTGAGTAAATCCAAGATTGATATCAACCATTCTAGAATATTCTATTTAATTTGGAGGACAGGTGTCCATAGAACTCTGAAGGAAAGAACCCATTTTGAAAACAAATAATAATAATAATAACAAAAAATAGTAAGAAGCCAATTTTTTTGATACTGGAGGGGCTTCTGGTTCGCGGTCTGAAAGCACCATGAGAATATGGCACTTTGTTAATTAGTTTATATAAATATTGGCAAATTTTAAGTTATTTCCAGAAATACTTGGACTTTGTAACATACAAACACATTTTCAAGGATTACCTGTACTTTGGTACCTTTTTAATGGCAATAATATGATATTTATTAATGTGCTTAGGACCAGAATGAATTACAGAAGCATACGCAGGAGGGAATGAAAAGAGATGATGTAACTGAAATACACTAAACCTTGGTGGGATGGAGGTCATGAAGTGAGGAGCTGATGACTTCAGACTGATGTCCCACTGCTGGGGGAAGCTGATGTTGGATGGTAGGCGGTTGCTGCACGACGTGGAATGTCAAAGTGCTGTTTAAACGCAGCAGGTGAAGCAAATCTGATGAGCAAACACTCTGCTGAGTCGTTGAGGGAGGATTGAAGTGAAAAAGGTGGATTTTATTAGTTGCTTTCCTCATCTTGTGTTGCTGTGCTCTCATTCTTCTTGAGGGTACCTGTGACGCATCTCTGAAATTTCCCCCTGTGGGACGGTTTCTTAGTGCAACTAAAAATAAATGTGAGAGGTAATTCCTTTGTCCAGATTTCTTTTTACTCTTGGTGGAGCGACATGTATGGTCATGTGGGGAGGAAAATGGGGACATGCATTTTTGTTCACCTAAGTCGCTCACAGTTTATATTAGTATAAAGAAAACACATAATGATAATGGGTGCGTACCGATGTTCCCCGGTGTCCGATGTTTCCCCCACTTCTATAGGAGGGGGGAACATCGGACCCGGGGAAAATCGGTACGAACCCATTATATTATTTTGTTTTCCTTTCTACTTATATATAAATGTGAGCGTCTTAGTGAAAAAAATGACCATGTCCCCATTTCCTCTGTCACACGACTTTCGCATCTCACCTTGTGGTAGATTGAAATCTGGGACCAAAGGCTAATTACCTCTCACATTTTTTTCGTTCACTAAGATTCGTCCACAGTGGGGAAATTTCAGAGTTGGCTCACAGGTTTCCGTCATGAAGAATGAGAATGAGGAGACACGACAAACAAGATGAGGTAAAGCAACTAATAAAATCCCACACTGTTTCACTTTCAATCCTCCTCAACGATCTCAGCTGTGTGTTTGCACCATCAGTATTTGCTTCACCTGCTGCGTTTTAAACAGCACTTGACATTCCACGTCGTGCAGCAACCCGCCTCCTCCACAACTATCACTTCCCCAGCAGTAGGACATCAGTCTATTTTCATCAGCTCCTCACTTCAGTCTCCTTCCACCAAGGTTTTAGGGGATTTCAGTTACATCATCTCTTTTCAATTCTTATTTTTTTTTCCCTACTGCGTATGCTCTCTTGTTATTCATGCTGGGTCCTAAGCACATTAAATAAATATCATATTATTCCATTATGAAGTAACCAAAGTTCTGGTGAATCCTTGAAAATGTGTTTGTTGTCAAAAAGGTCCAATTTTTTCTGAATAACTTTAATAAACTTGACAATATTTTATATATAGAATAATTACAAAGTGACATTGTCTCATGGTGCTTTTCAGACGCGACGCTGAAGCCCCTCTCACCAGACGCTCATTCTATCAGTTTTCAGACACAGGGTCTTCACACCAGAATGTCCTGATGTGCACGGATGTACCGGAAGGAGCTGGCCGGCTCTGATGCTGATGTGTATGCTAGCAGCTTCTTGTGGACAGATCTCTCCAATACGCAGTTTTGCAGCGTGTCTTTGCTCACCAGACTTCCTCGGGTTTAGTTTACACAGCAGTATGTGTTCACGGAGGTGCGCCATACGCATATTTTCACAAGCACACAGTCCCCCATTGTCACCCAGGTTTGAGTTCTGGTTGGTCCAGTTTTGGCTGTGTACAAAAGTATTTTCAGTCTGCTCGTCAGTCCTCTAATGTCCCCTGTGACCACTTTGCGGCTCTCGATTGGTCGCTGCACGCGCGTTCCCAAGGAACAAGGATGAAGCAAAGTCTGTCTACTACGTGGGCGTTGATTTTCGCTCCCAGGTCCTCCATTGACTTTCCGCCCATGTCCTGTGACGTGTTCTACGCGACAGTCCGTGTAGTGACGTGACCGAGAGGTCGTGCGTTGTGACGCTTCGATCACTCGTCACCCATAGACTTTGCAATTGAAAGCTAGATGAAGCTTGTTTCGGTTGAATGCACCATTTACTCTATTCTTTAAAGCTCTCTTTTTTGACTGTTGCACTAGAGCAAAGCAATTTCCTCGCTGTGACTTCCTTTTACATGGTTATTATAAAGGATTCTGATTCTGATTAACAGTTATTAAGTACTAATTGGTGTATAATTTATGGTCATTTATCTCTTGATTTTTATTATCACTTATTTATACATTGCCTTGTTCATGTTGTTCTTGTGATAAAACTGTCAAAATGTGTCGGCTAGAAAATGAACTGATTTAACTATTGTTTCCCTGATGCTTTTTTCCACAAGGTGAGTGTGAACATCTGATCAAAAGGAAATGGAAACAACGGTACCCCATTTATATACATTATAATGTGAATGATTAGAGGTTTTGTGGTGACGGATAGTCTTTTTTCTAAATATCCATAATTTAGATAAATAGACTGAAAATTTGTGGTTTATTCCAATTTAAATGTTGTTGGTGTATAGTCCTAAATCACAACAGGAAGTCATATCGAGGAGTTTACACCAAGCTGTCGAATCACCAGACTACCGAGAAACAAACAGTTAGAACACAGGACACAGGGTGGCGGGATCGGGATGTATATACAGTAAATGTAAATACATGTCCATAATTATCTTAAATGGTCTGGATTCATCACTGTCCTTAGACCTCCTTTCATCGGTCAAGAAACAAGCGAAAAAACCTACTGAGAGAGGGATCCGCTCCCACAGAGAGGACCGTAGACCCAGCTCTGAGCCAATCACAAAAAATAATGGCTTGATATAAGAGTTCTACGTAGGTTTAGTCTCACATTGTAAGTTGAATACAGAAGTAATACACTTTTGAGGCATATTCTACTTTTCTGAGTTGGACCTGTATGTAACGCAGTCAACAGATTCGAACCCATCATTCTTTTTTCTGAGTTTTGCCAGATGTGAATAGTTTTAGACGTTAGCAAGAGCTTTCTTGCCATATGTCCTGGGAGACGTTTGTCCTTTTCTCTCTTTGATATAAATGCCCTGAAACATAACAGTTTCTTGAGGCCTTACTTTCTTCTTTTATTTATATGAAATCAACAAAACAGTATTTCTTTCTGCAACAATGGAAGGGAATTGATATGACTGAGAAAAAAAAAGCTGACTTCATTTACATCACAATAAATGCTTATTAGTTAGCATTTTTTAGGAAAAGATAAAATGTACAATGTGGTAGTCTAGCTTTATCAACAGATTGGTTTGTTTCTAATAATTAATGTCAGATGTCTAGGTGTTCTGTGCAAAAGGAATGTGCTTCAATCGTGCGGAGGTGGATATTTCAGATTTATGCAGCATAATAATCTGGAAACGGTCATCCTGAAAATGTGAGACCGGCTTTTTCTCTCTCACAATGTTTCAAAGCAGTAGAAAAAGCTCTGTTAGCTGCAAAACTGAAGGATTATCTTTTTATTCTGTATTATTTTGTAAGTATGTATAGTTTATTTCTCCCCCCTAGCACATTTTACAGACAGCGCTTTACAATGTTCAGAAATCAGCTATTTTTCCATTTACAACGGTGATGACGGAAGTGAGACGGCAGACTCACTGGGTCCCATCAAAGCCTTCGACCAACACCATCCATTCACTCATCATTACATTAATCGTGCTTGTTTATAGAGTTAGGGGAAACCGGAGCGCCGGAGGAAACCTACGCAGACACAGGTTGAGTACATCGTAACTCCACTTCTGAAAGGCCCTGTTCCGACCCGGGTTTTTGAACACCCAGGACCCGTCTTGCTGAGAGAGAGCCAGTTAAGTACTTTTGTGTTCCTCTTGTGTGTATGACTGTGCTATACACAATAACATTGCCTTAATTAATATTTAATAAAACACAATGGAGCGCCAAATAATCCCAGGGGTTAGCTAAGATGCTATTTGTCATTGTCCTGTAGTTAGGAATTTGTTGTGTTAAAAAGCAACCAAAAAAACCAAACCATAATAATTAATGATTCTATAATTAATAGGCAGTTTGGTGGGCCTGGTAGTGCAGTGTGATGGTGAGACCGCTGGGGAACCACAATGAGACGACCAAAACGCTAAAGTGTATAGCTAAACGGTTGAATCCTCTTCCCTTTTATGTACTGTTCATGAATGTCTGTTGTGATGCCTTGTTTTTGTACTCACTTTGTGTTGCCTTGTGTGTGAACTGTGGCCATACAAATAAACCCTGCCCTCTTGCTTATCACGATGGAGGTATCATGCACCAGACGACAAATTATTCCACTTATCTCCGGTTTTGTGTGTCATCCCAGTTCACACTCTTTGTCACTAATAAAAGCAGAGAGCGTCAAAACAAGTCTTTTCAAAACTTGATAAAGAAGGCCGAGTTGTGGGGCAGGTATGATGGCAAACACATTTACTGATGAGGAAAATTCAATAGGAGATAAGCTATTTATAACATGAAGGTGAGGAATGAATCGATCAGTAAACAACATCGGCAACGTTTACTAGCCCTACAGAATT